AACTGAACTAAAACTAATTTTTGAAATAAGCAAACCATGACTCCATCCACATTTTGCACCTGCTCCTCTCACGCTTTACACACACATGACTTTTCAGAGTATCAATTCCCCAAAACAGTGCTCTCAGATTATCTTTTGTCAGAGGGGAAAATCATCTAAAAATGACTTACCATCACATCAGGTGATGGGGCCAAAATATCACCAAAAACGAACAAAACAACACAACAGCCTATTGCTATCAAATCAATTCTGACTTATAGTAACCCAACGTGGGGTCTGTTAGACTTTAAATCTTTATGGAAACAGACAGACTGGTGGGTTTGAACCAACGATCCAGTGGGTAGCAGCTCAATGCCTAACCCATCGCAACACCTGGACTCCTCAAAATATTGTCAACGGTAATTTTAAGCTCAGAAATCAAGAGAGGGAGGATTGCTCCAAAGAATGTCTCTCTATACTGCAATTGTAAACCTTTGTGTGGCTGATTTATAATGTTGGTGGGCTGAGTGGAAGATTGGTGTGTCAGCCCCTGAAATCCATTGCTGACAAAGAAGGATATGCACTCATTTCATTCTGTTGTAACATCCAGTTGCTAGGAGTTGGAACTGACTGAATGATACCTAACAACAACAACATGAAATCAACTGATAAAGCTGTTTGCTGGGGGTCGAAGAGGTACAGTGGAGTTTGAAGTACACTGGAGTCTCTACAGAACCCTAACTCCAACTCACTAAGTTTTGAAAGTTTTTATTGTGTACACATAAACACTTAGGAATATATAACCATTTAAACAACCAAAGGGCACATTCTGCAAGCCTGCCTCCTGGCTACCAGCACCCAGTCCCTTTCTTTCCATGAGTCCAGAGTCCTCAGCTGGGCTCCCTCTCTCCATGACCTCATCTCTGCCTTTAACTCACTGCTTTTTAGGGCAAAATCTACATGTTGTTGTTGTTAAGTGCCATCAAGTCGGTTCTGACCCATAGTGACCCTGTATAGGGTTTCCAAGGAGCAGCTGGTGAGTTTGAACCACCGACCTTGCAGTTCAAATGGCTTTGCAGTCTGGCGCATTAACCCACAGATCTACACCAGGACACATAAGTAGATGGAAACAACTAAGGTTGGAGGACATTGTTAGTCAGTTGCAAACAGTGGGAAAGAAGGTTTTAAAAGCATTCAAAACACTTCAAACTACCTCCTATCTCGATCTCAAAATGTTTCTAGTCCTAAAGTTCTGGCAGATACAAATGCCGAGGGGTTCTGTATTAAAAGTGGGTTTCCCTTTATAGCATGAGGAGGGGCTTCTATTTTCCTTGTCCGTTTGGGTAGGTGGAATTCTCACAGTTGAATCATTTTTTCTCCTGCTGTTACTGTTATTTAGTGCTGTCGAGTCAATTCTGCCTCATAGAGACCCTGTTTAGGATTTCCGAGGAGTGGCTGGTGGGTTTGAACTGCTGACCTTACGATTCAAAGTGACTTTGGGGTTCAGTGCTTATGTTACCATGCCTCAGGAGTTATTTTATCAAGCTATAAATCAGTCATGAAATGAAGAAGCAGACCACAGGACCAGGAACAAAGTAGAGTGTTGGGGTAAACTTTGAAATAGCAGATTACAGTGGGTAGGAACACTGTGGAGGCAGGTAAGCCCAGGTTCAAATTCAACTCTGCCACTTAGTTGACTTTGGGCAAGTGGCATGGTCTCTCTGTGGCCAAGCTTTGTCATGTAAAGCTGTCCTTTATAGACTTGTTATTGTGCCATCGAGTTGGTTCCAACTCATAGCGACTTTGTATAAGGTGTTTCCCAGAGCAGCCGGTGGGTCTGAAGTGCTGGCTCTGCAGTTACTAGTCCAGTGTTTATTCTACAGCCCCACATCAGAGCTCTTATAGGGATAATAGAGTAAATGACTTTCTAACCTGATAGAAACTTCTCAGAAAATAGTATGTATCATAATTTAAGAGAACCAAAGAGTGGGCCTTGATAAATCATGCTAGTCTCCTTTTCTTTCTTGTCAACTTCCTGGTTATTATGGGGGGCAGTGGGAGCCCACGACCACTAGTACCTCACTCATGAAAATAAAACAAACCAAAACCATTGGCCATCGAGTTGATTCTGACTTACTGCAACCCCTCATGACCCAGACTAGAAGCACTTCATTGGGTTTTCTTGGCTGTAATTCTTGCAGAAGCGGTTTCCCAGTCCTTTCTTCTAGGGTGTTGCTGGGTGGATCTGAACCACTAACCTTTAGGTAACTAGTCAAGTGTAAACCATTTATGCCAACCAGGGACTTTTTCATGCTCTCTTAAAGACTCAGCAGTGGGTCTCGTCCTCTCCTTCCTCCCAACTCAACAAACATATCTCAGTGGCCTCAGGAAATACCATCCACCACCTGGCCATCACATGTGCTGACCACAGCATGTTGTTATTGTTGTTAAGTGCCATCGAGTTGGTTCTGACTCATATATAGGGCTTCCAAGGAGCAGTTGGTGAGTTTGGACCACCAAACTTGTGGTTCAAACCAATCTTGTAGTCCAGTGCTTATCCTACAGCACCACACAAAGACTGCAGTATAAAAACAGGGAATATCAAAGTCATAGTCCTCTATTATTCCTCCTTCTAAATACTTCTTAGTTATAGCTCCCTCCAAATCAGACACATGCTAATGGTGGAGGCTCCCAGGGGTGGCTTTGAGAGGAAGATCCCCGCTTCTAACCCTAAGGACCTAGTCCCTAGAGATTAGAGTCGCCTTCTCAACTTCATATGACACACTGAGCTCTGTGGGGATCGATCCTGCTCTTTTCCCAAGGGTAACTCTATTTGTAAATAAAATAATTTCTCTGTAACAGCCCTCCTTTCAAATTGGCAGTCTCTCTCAATAACTACTAGTCAGGCACACAGCCATTAACCATGACCATCTCTTCAGTTCAAGAGATAATCAAAAGGCAATCCTGATGAGAATAATGTGCCGCCAGCCTTTCACCCGGGCTCATGTAAACTCGGACCACACTGTATGTGCTTAACAGTTTGTCCTGGTACTTGTAGGTCTATTTTCCCTCATCTCCACCTGCACTCTGCCCCGGGAGGCTGCGTACGGGCATCAGTGGATCCCTGCCCCCTGGTCTCTGGCTGGTTTCTGCTAATGGAAAGTGCTGGTTGAAGAAGATTAATGTTCAGGTATTCCTTCTCTGGCTGTTTTCCTGCAGCAGGCTCTCCTTGTTCCAAGTCTGTCTCACCCGATGGTCACCACATGTCTGCAGGCTGCCTTCTAGCCATGATTCTCCCTCTGAGACATAAGAACCTATCTCACAAGAGTCCTTAAAAGCCTGCCAATATGTATCCATCTCAGAATATTCTGAAATTTCTTACTTCTATTCTCTTTCATATTGTTGTTGAAGTGCCGTCAAGTCGGTTCTGACCCATAGCGACCCTGTAGATGGTTCCAAGGAGCGACTGGTGAGCTTGAACTGCCAACCTTGTGGTTCAAACCAACTTTGTAGCCTAGTGCATTAACCCACAGTGCCACACCAGGACTCCATTCTTTTTCATATATACCCATAATTAAAACTCTGGTAAGCAGTAAAGGATTAACTAGGCAGGTTTGGGATGTTCAAATCCTAAATTTTCCAAAGTAAGAGCTGTCCCCTTGACCAGCTCCTGGGAACCAGCCTGTCTTTGGACTGTCTTGCCTGGTAGGAGTGTCAGGGTGTACCTGGGTTCTAGACAACACCAGATACTTTATGCTAACACGGTGATTTATTGTAGGGACTCTGAGTCATACTATACTAGTCTGACCTCTGGAGGGGCTGGAATCTCAGCAACTGAGGTTCAGCCACATGGACACTCTGTGCATACGCTACTGACCCTCATGAAAATCCTGGACACAGGCTCAGGTGAGCAACCCAGTTGGCAATACTTACCTGTTGGAATACATCATGGCTGAGGGGATTCAGTGTGGAGCTGTGGGATAATGCACCGGACTGCAAGGCAGGTTTAGACTGTAAGGTTGGTGGTTTAAATTCACCAGCTGCTCCCCGGAAGCCCTATTCAGGGTTGCTATGAGTCAGAACTGATGCAAAGGCACTTAACAACCATAACCTATCAAGTCACTGGGAAAGGACAACTAGAAGCTTATGCCTGGGCTCTCCTGCGGCCTTTTTATCTTGGCTGATTTTAGTCTCTATCTTTTCACTGCAATAAATTATAACCACAAGTTTAACACCTTTTTTGAGTTCTGTTAGTGCTTCTAGCAAATCAGTGAACCAAAGGTGGTCTTTGTTGCTGTTGATATTTGCCATTGAGTTGATTCTGACCCAAGCGACCCTTTATAGGATTTCCAAGGAGCGGCTGGTGAGTTTGAACCGCTAACCTTATGGTTCAAACTGACCTTGTGGTCCAGCACCTTATCCTCCAACACCACACCAGTACTCCCAAAAATGACAAAACTATTTGATCACAACTTAGTACCATGGTAGTGGCCACAAAGATAGAAAATAGAACTCCTTATGTCCAGGAACATTCAGACACAGTCCAAGAGGATAATCCAGGATGGGGATAATACCAGGGAACTTCTAAAGACATTCCAATCATCTCAAGAGACTTTTGAGCTGTGGGCCTGGGAGCCATGTGGTTACTGCTTTTAGGGTGCTATGAGACAGATCAATGGAAACATCCATGACTCAACCTTTGGGGCTCAGATTGCAGGTGGGACACTGGGCTGAGTGGACAAAAGCGTCTAACTCAACGGGTCAGACATGGCTCAATGCTTGTGTTATTTCTTCTCTTTCTAACCCAAGTTTCAGGGAAAAAGAAAATATCCAACGTTTGAGTCCTCTAAGAGAGGATAAAGCGGAAAAGAAAAAATCAACACCAGGAAAATTCAATTTAGAGAATGTGTTTTCCTTTCTTAGAGTCCATGCTGCCGGCTTGATGGCACAGTAGGACTCGTTCATCTGTGCAGCGCACATGACAGTATGAGACCCAGGCCAGCTGGACTGCCCCTACTCACCTGGCCCCACTGACATCCACTCCAACCATCAGCTGCCCGTTCAGGGAGAGGATCTCATCCCGCAGCCGGACCTTCCCACTCTTCCCTGCAGGGCTGTTCTTCTTCAGCTCCGTCACCCAGATGCAGCCCACATCCAGCACAGGACCCTGGTGGGTCTTCCTCTTCTTGCCCCCTCTACGCTTTTCACCATAGTCCCCGAAGACGGGGATGTTCCCGAAACTGAGGCCCACATTCTCTGCATCCCCCAGCTCCTTGGTGAGGTACACAGTGCAGATCTCCATCTCGGGGAGCTGGAGGTCAGGAGGTGGCACTGCACTCTCATCCACAGAGAAGTTCAGCTGGATGTACTCCTGCAGCTTCCGGATGGCCGCCTGGCAGAGCCGCTGCTCGGGGCCCGCCCCGCCCTCTCGCAGGCTGTTCTGCAGCCACTGGTAGAGGAGGGGCAGGTGCAGCACGGCATTGTCCTGGGTGATGGGCATGGTGCTCACTCCTGGGGGCAGGGTCCCGTGGGACCCCCCATCCCTTGGGAACCCTGGCTGTCATCGATTTTGTCTGTGTTCATGTTCAGGCTGACAGATGAGCCCAGGAGATGCCTACTCAGAACTGGGCTGTTGGTCTTGGCAGGAACAGGACAGTAGGAACAGTCACGCTGGTGTGCTCAGCATGGCAAGGAAGGAAGTGTCCCATAAGTTCTCGCTTGGTTAACTTGCCCATGCAAGTGACATGGAAATGGAGTATTCCTCCAGCAGTGACAGCATGTCCCTCTTGGGCTCATTCACACCTGGGAAAGGAAGAGGAAGAGACAAAACAGTCCAGTGACTACAGCGAGCTTCTGACACAGAGCACACGGCCTTCTCTATTGCAGAAGGATGCTGTCGGCTTTTCAGAAAGCAAGCTTATGCCCGGAACCCAGCGTGACTCCCTGTATCCTACACACACACACACACACACAACACACACACCCTCGGACAGAACCTTCTGGAATGCTGATCGTTTCCAGGAAGTTCCCTGATTAGCAGGGAAATGAGGTGACTTCTGCCAGGACTAAAACAACAAACTCACATGCAATGAGGAGGCCATGTATTTAAAACCTTCTATGATGTCCTTGTTAGGAGCCACTGAGTGGGTTCCAATGCATAGTGACCCTGTGCACCATAGAAGGAAACACTGCCCGGTCCTGGGTCACCCTCATAATCCTTTTGTTTGAGCCCCGAGCCGAAGCCACTGTGTCAATACAGCTCTTTGAGGGTCACCCTCTTTTTTTGCTGACCCTCTTATATCCTTAAAATGCGTTGCCATAGAATCAATTTCAATTTAACCCATAAGGACCAGAGAAGATAAAGTAGATCTGTTTCTTAGGGTTTCCCAGACTAAATCTTTATGAGAGCAGGTCATCTCATAGGCTTGGACCAGATTTTATAATCAGCAGCCTGCCCTTCACCCACGGTGCCACCAGGGCTCCCTCTTATATCTTTGTTGTTGTCGTCATTGTTAAGTGACGTCAAATCGGTTCTAACTCATAGTGGCCCAATATAGGGTTTCCGAGGCGATAAATCTTTGCCAGAACAGAAATTCTCATCTTTATCTCTCTGAGTGGTTGGTGGGCTTGAACCACTGACCTTGTGATTCACAGTCTAGTGCTTAGACTACAGAGCCACCATGCTCCCCTTATAACCTTGTTGTTGTTAATGCCATGTGCTGTCAAGTCAGTTCTAATTCATGGCGACTCTGTATAGGGTTTCCAAGGAAGGGCTGCTGAGATTGAATGGTAAACCATGAGGTTCAAACTGACTTTGCAGTCTAGTGCATTAACCCACAGCGCCACACCAGGATTTCCTCACATCCGTAGGTATGTGTCCATTTAACTTAACGAGCTCTATTGCTGAACAAGGATTGCTCTCCAATCCAGGGCTTTGTTCAGCCAGTTACCACCACAGAGATTCTGGCTCTGCACTAGGGCAATGTTAGTCCACGGAGATTGCAAGGGAATTGTCGGCCTTTGTGTCCATCCTGTAGCTGTCGTTTGCCTCTTTCCTCTCCCTCCTGCACGCTGTTGAAAGTGACCTATTCCCAGCCAACCCAAACAGTATCTCCAGGATGAAATAACTTTGCTCCCTTTTGCTTACTTTTTTCTTTAAATATCTAATTTTTTTTAAGTGTGGTAAAATATGAATCACATAAAATTTAGCATTTGAGCCATTTTAAAATTGTACGCTTAAAATTGTACAGTTTAAAATTACATTAAATGTAATTAATGCCATTAATTACATTCACATTATTGTGTAACCATCATCAATGAGTATTTCTAAAGTGTTTTCATCACCTAAACAGACACTCTGTACTCATTAAGCTATGACTCCTCGTTGCCCATTCCCCTCTCATCAACTTTCGGTCCCTACCATTTGCCTATTCAAGATATTTCATAATTGAGATTGGATGATGCTTGTTTCTTGTTGTCAGGCCCCAATTCTTAGTGACCCCCAGAATGAAACACTGCCCAGTCCTGTGCGATCCTTAGAATTGTTAGGTTTGAGCACTACCACTTGCCTAATCTAGATACTTCGTATAAGTGAGATCAGACACTATTTGCCCTTCGGTATCTGGCTTGTTTCACTTAGCACATTGTTTTCAAGGTTCATGCACACTGCAGCATGTATTAAAACTTTGGTCCTTTATAGAGTGGAGTGATTAATTGTTTGGCGATGCGCCATTTTGTTTATCCATTCATTTGTTGATGGATACTTGGGTTGCTCTGACCTACTAGATACTGAACATTGGTACTCAAGCAGCTCTTTGCTGGCTCTCCAGAACACTGCTCAAAGCTGTGCTGCCACTCAGGAGGTAGCAGGGCCACATGAGGCAGGTGTGTCTCCTCTACTACAGCTGGTACGTACGGACTGACCTCGTTCCCTCTGAATTCTGCACAGTGCCTTACACATAAGAGGTCCCCAATGAAAGGTTAACTGAATTCCATTGCCAATTCTCCTCCTCTACCAAAGAAACATTGTACCTCCATCCTCTGTAAACAGAGAAAAATGATCCCTTTCCAAACTTCACCTTCACTCAGAGAAAGTCAATATCAACCACGCAGCCTAAGATGGAAAATGTTCTCTGGGCATCTCGGAAAGCGATTTAACAAGGAATAATAATAAATGGGAGAGGTGACAGAAGCCGTGTCAACAATAAATGACCTTATTACCCAGTAGCCATAAAGAAATTTCCAATACAGTGAGCTTGGATTTTCTAAAAAAAAACTTGAGTGCCAGATATTAACTGGTTCCAAATAAATCAAAAGCTGAACAAATATCATCTAAATAAGCACATGCCTACGAAAAAGAAATCCAAGATCAAAGAAAAGATAGTCCGCATATGCACAAAGATCGAATGTCTCCTAGACCCAAATAAATAACAACTCTCTTTGAAAAATAACTTCATACACAAACCTATTAACATCTTATGAATAAATCAAAACATGTTTCTTCAGGCCTAACTACCTTTATGAGTCTTTTTTTTTTCACTGACTATGAGAAAGTGAAGCTAAATGAGCTTTAAGGTCCTGGTGTGGTGCTGTGGCTTAACGCACTGGGCTACAAAGCTGCTTTGATGCACAAGACTGGCAGTTCAAGCTCACCAGCCGCTCCTCACTAATCCTATACAGGGTCGCTAAGAGTAGGCACTTAACAACACCACAACAACATGCTCAAAGTGAGGTTCTTAAACACAATGACAGTGTCTTATTCCTCAATACAATCCTTACTGCGAAACAATGCCTATCACATTGCAGACTCTCAAAAATTAAAAAATATTTTTTGAAGTTAAGATCCTTTAAATTACATTTTGAATGGTCTGTGATTCAGCTGATGGTTCCGTTGTTATTGTTGTATACTTTGGATTCTGTCTGACTCCTAACAACCATATATGTCAGAGTAAACCCGCTGCTAGGGCTTCTAGGCCATACCTACTAAAGGAGCACAGAGCCAGCGCTCTTCAACCCAGGACTCCTAACAACTGTATATGTCAGAGTAAACCCGCGGCTAGGGCTTCTAGGCCGTACATACTATGAGAGCACAGAGCCAGTGCTCTTCAACCCAGGACTCCTAACAACCATATATGTCAGAGTAAACCCGCTGCTAGGGCTTCTAGGCTGTACCTACTATGAGAGCACAGAGCCAGCGCTCTTCAACCCAGGACTCCTAACAACCATATATGTCAGAGTAAACCCGCCGCTAGGGCTTCTAGGCTGTACCTACTATGAGAGCACAGAGCCAGCGCTCTTCAACCCGGGACTCCTAACAACCATATATGTCAGAGTAAACCCGCGACTAGGGCTTCTAGGCCGTACATACTATGAGAGCACAGAGCCAGTGCTCTTCAACCCAGGACGCCTTCCAGTCAATGCAACCACTGGGGCTCCTTGAAATGCTTCTAGACATGTGAAAACAGAGTGAATGTCCTGTGCAAGATGTTCTTTAAATAAGTCTGATTGAAGAAAACTGAACTTAACAGTCAAAAGAATTCTTTTTTTCCAGGTGTTAATTTGTATTCATTCATTCAGCAAATATTGATTGAATATCTATTATGAACCAGGCTTGAACCTGTCACTGAAAGTAGAACTGTTAATAAGCCATATTCCTTGTCCTGGAGGAATTCATAGTCTACTGGGGAGATGCATAAATGAATGCAAATTGGGGTGTAATAAGTCTATGACAATCCTATTAACTGTCTCCATCTGCCAAAACTGACAGAGCTACATCCTTCGCAGCTACATCTGTACAATAAAACCCACCCCAGCCCGTGTCAAATGGTCCAGAGCTTGGCATCTCATCCTACCTGGGACATTCTGAGTTCTTCCCCTGAGAATTGAGAACTAGCCCCAGAGAGAAGGCATCCATTTCTAACATGAGGCAGGAGCTCCGAAAGGCAAGATTCTACCTGCTGTGTGGACTGAGTAGCAAAGAAAGTCAACCTGACAAGGACTAAAAATGAAGCGGATCAGGATGCAGCAGAGCCAAAAGGCTGGGGAGAGAACTTCACTTCCTCAGCTCCCCACAGCTCCTTCTGCACACAGGCTGCATTACCGCCTCCCCCACCCCCGACCTGAAAGGCCGTATCAATCCTTACAAGAAATTACACTTAAAAATTTTAACTGAACAAAATAAATAAATAAATACAACTTTAAAAAAAAGACAAAGGGAAAAAGTAAATCAAAACAGAATTTAATCATGAACAATTCCCTCCTTTGCCATGAGTTCAGAAATGGAAAATGCCGGGCTACAATTACTGAACATTTGATCAAAGACAGTAGAGAAGAATCCTAACCAAAAAGGGTAACACAGAGTAGAATTTCAAATTCTCATGGAATCCAAACTTTCTGGAAACAGAGGCTGGATGACCCCCCAAACGAATGCCCTGAGATCATCGTTATGCCTTAAACAAAGAATATATATATTATCTTCTTAAAACTCAACAACAGTTTAGCTTA